AGGTGTGATATGTTCGGAGTTTTACTTTAGGAATTATGGAAGTTTTAATAAAACATATATATAAATAGGTAAGCCTCATGCTAGTGAGGTGAGACAGGCCTTAACCAAGCTAAGGCGCAAGCATTATAAAAAAAAAACTCGAGTGAGCCTCAAGGAGTTTTTCACTAGAATTGCACTGAGATGGGCCTCAAGGTGAGACTCATATTACGCAATTTTAAACAATGGGTGAAATATAAGAAGTCTATCTTCTCGTTCAACATCTTCTCATTCAATTTCACATGCAAAAAAGTCGACAATCATCCATTGCAGCAAATTTGTAGCATTGTACCATCACGAAGGTGATAAACATGCCTTTAAACAAAATATCCAAATCTCAGCATATCAAAGAGATGACTCCAAATTCATGAAGTACCAAATTTTGAAAGCATCAACTTGAAAAGTTACAGAGCTTCTAAAACAAGAAGGAAATAGATTAAGTTGCTTGTAAAACGTAAATCTATGTGATATGGATGCCAAAGAAAGGCAGTAAAATGAGTATTAAATCCTTGACAATTAAGTACATCTCTAATTAATGACTAAATATTCAGTGCATATGCAGATAATCAATCCAAATCATTGTGGAACAAAGAAGGGCCACAATGCAACGGAGACGAAAATTTTGTTTGAATTTTGACTAGGCAATAAGCTTGGGTTAGTCGAGCATGCCACAGGATGGCCCTAATGGTTGGCCACTACGCATGATTTCTTTAATCATCAAGACCAAAAGAGTAGCGGCTAAGCCACCTCATAAGTTCTTCAACATCACCTATGCTTTATTTTGTTCTTCTATAACAGCAAATGAACCAGTGGCAGCCATGAATCAAGAATTTCTCAAGGCATTTAAAAAGCTTGGTCACATAATATTGGACCAAACACTGAGAATTACACCATCTCCAACATGCGTTGAGGCGCAGCAGTTGACTGCTATAAGTTGGTTATACTAACATAGCGAAAGGCCAATGTTGTCGCCATATATATTGGATGGGTCTGCCACGAAGGTAGGAGGTGAAGTTGACTTGAGTGCTCATTTAGACATGCTTGAATTAGGAAATGGTCTTCTATAGCATATTGCATAATATGGTTATCAGCTTACTTAGTATAAAATATAAGGTATTTTTATATTTGTAAGGTAGTAACTTTAGGGCATTATTTGTATGGATTAATGGAACGCAAAAAAGTTGGGATAAGGCTAATCATGAAATTAAGTAATGATTTCTTGACCATTATGAAGTTACTAAGGCTTCGTTTGGTTTATTTCCCCTTACGGTATCAAAAACGTCAATAGTAGAAAAGGCCTTTTTTAAACGGAGAAAGCTAATATATAATGCTTCTCAAAACAATAGAGAAAAGGAGTTTTTAAAAAAGTTTGGCTCACATCCAAACAAGTTCCACAACTACGTTTTCCATTTCAAACTGAGAAAAAGAAGGAAAAATGTGAAAACAAACGAGCCCTAAGAATAGAAGGTCTTCTACTTATTGGATAAAAGTTTGCAGAAGTTTGAAGCTATGTTGAATAAACAAATCAAATTGCCTGTTTTATTATTTGTATAATTACTTCCCCATTTGAATACTAAGTCAATACCAATTCTTCAAAACGCAACAGATAAGCTCCAGGCTTTGCTAATAATTTCAATAGCAAAAAAATGAAAAGAAGGATTCATTAGTCGTACTCAAAAAAGTTAGGATAAGGTTACTCATGAGAATGATATGATGTTAGGTAATGATTTCGTCACCACTTTGTAGTTATTATGAATAGTAGGCCTTCTACTCATTGGATAAAAGTTCACATAAGTCTGAATATATGTTAATAAACAAATTAAACTCTGTTTTAGGATCATTTAAAACTAAGCTTCTAGTTGTAGGACTTATCTAAAGTATTCACAAGACATGATAAATACATTTGTGAGCAAACCTTTATAAAGTCACTTCGAGAAGCTACTCCTTATCTATCCCTAAAATTACGGTGCAAAATGGACAATAAAATGACTTAAATCAACCGCATATAAAATTCAATCAAACATGGTACTTAGAGTATGTGTTCATCGTTTGCAGTTACCTAGCAAAGAATTACCTAACCAAGATATGGATCCCAGCTATGACACTAATGTTTTGCATTTTTTATGAGTCCTATTAAATTCAACATAATATAATCCACTAATCCATTAACTTCAGGTAATGTAAACATATTTTTGGATTAAGACATGTCCATGAAAGCAAGAGAGAGAAGCTCTAGGAATTTTATTTTTTATAAAAAAGTTATACATGATCTTTGTGTCCTCCCCCTAAAATGACCCTTTGAATATATTTATAAGATTTTGAGTGCTACAAGAAAAGCTATTCAAGAAATAATAATAAAGTACATTCAATTGCTTAAGACATGTAGCCCAAAATATAACCAAGAAATATATGAATAATACGTAGAATATGTGAACTATTGACATGTGGATAGTTACAAATCAAAGTTTCCATCTTGAAGGTTACCATCCTTAATTGATTTGATCCAACCGCTAACATGCTGGAAGGAATCACTAACCAGTTGGGTCTACTTGCTAAAAGAGCTGTCAATTTACCTAAACCTTTCTTACTGGATGAAGTCATCGACTTACTGATTAAGGTTACCAACTTGCTGGATGAAGTTGCCAACTTGCTAGGATGACTTGCCACGTTGTAGTCAACTATGTGGTCAACTTGCAATATGGCCGACTTGTAGTATGGCCAACTTGCAAGCTGAAGTCGCCACATTGCTAACTTATCAATTATCATGAGCTAGTTAAGTCCATCAAGGGCCTAGACTGGTTCAAATTGAATCGAGATCTTGAAATGTTTATCTGTATATTCTCTTATATCTTTTAGAAAGCGACTTGCAAAAAAAAGAAGAGACTTATAAAAAATATATATAATTACTGAATTATCAATTCAATGAAAAATAATTATCGTTAAATAACATTTATTGATTTTCACACAGAGAAATTCTATAAACACTTCCATGTTTTCTTTGTTGAAGCTCTCAACACTAATCTCCACATCCTACTCCCTTCCAAGCTATGGATCATATTCCTTTTTTTTTTTAAGAATCTTGCTACAGCAATGACACAAATGAACAAGGATAGGGAGGCTAAGAGAGATATTGGGAGACTTCTTGCCCTCCTTTGAAAAAGATAAAGAAATGGATGAGAGTGGGAAGAAAACTGAACTTGAAGTTCCTACTATATGTGACTTTCAAGAAAATATCTCCCAACAACGAAGGTTAACAATAGCTCTAGCAAGTTATACTTGGATGGAGGCCACAAAGAGAGCTTTAGGGATACTCTTGCTGCATATGATTTACTTGAAGGTGATCAGTTAGTCAATTCCCCAGCTCACCTTGCAGTTAGATTGGCGAAGAAAGTAGCTTTGAAAAAATAAGTCGATAAACCTCTTTGAGTTGTCGATTGAGGGTACAACGATTTTGGCTCTTGACTTTAAGACAATGAGAAAAGCTCTTGCCAACTTGCAAGTTGAGTTCAATGCTGAGAAATTGAAGATGTCACATAAGATTACTGAGATTCAACTTTTTGGTGAATCCGAGAAGATTCACCTAGTGATTTGAAATAGAAAGCTAGTTGCCTAGAAGTCATTGCTACTTAAGTGGCCAATGACATTAGGACAGAGATTAACAACTTGAAGGGAGAGGTCTTTATACTACGAAGAACTGTTAAGTTCTTCACAATTGAATCAATCTACTGGGCCGATTTCTTATTTTGGCATCTTATTCATAAAGGCTTAGTCGCCACAGAAGTACTTTCTGACCATATTGTTCAAGTTATAGTAAGAGGAGTAACTTCTTTTAATATTAAATTTTTACATGTAGTGATGACTAGTAGTCACCATAATTGAATCACTTATGATGATTTTTTATTAATAATATGTATTTTTTTGTTTATTGTGGCAATGATGTGATGTTTAGATCTCTTATATATTTATAATCATGATGATTTGACTTTTTCTATATGATGGTGAAAGGCTTCAACATCCATTTTTTCCTATAAGTGGTTTTGTCATAGTTTCATTTTAGCATTTTACTTCTCTGAGTCTCATCTTCTCTCTTTGCTTCTTCTGTGAATTTTTTTTTAAGCTACGAAATGTCCCGAGCTTGTCTCAACTATACATGTAACTTTTTGACTTCTAATTGAAAATGCACTTCATTGGTTTCTCAATATAACTTGAAGTCATTGATACAAGAATGGAAGATTAGAGAATATTTTATTGTTCAAGTTCTAGAGGCAGGAGAGTTTCGCAATGTTATGAAAGAGCATAAGCTATGTTTCTACAAGAATCAATTTCATCTTGGATTGCAACTTCCTTTCTTTCCTGAGGTTGCGACAATAATTCACTTCTATGGCTTGGTACCCACACAAATTGTACCCAACTCATTGACAAGCATGGTCACATAAACCAACGAGAGCACCAAGTAAAGTGGAGTTTAAATCTTTTTAGATTCATGTTTACAATGAAAGGATATAATGATGGAACAATTCTTTTAGCCTTCAAATATGTAAAAATTCAAGGCTTAGAAAATAGATGCAGGGTTGAAAAAATAGTTCTTTTTTGTGAAATCGACTGAAGGGTGGTGCCCTAAAACTAAAAAAATATTTAGAAAAGTTGACACAATAACATCTTCATATGTCACTCATGAGATAGTTTATATCTTCTTGGTAGAGCACATTTTATATGACAAATTCGCACAAGACACTCATTTTAGAGAGCAATAAATTGACTAGCAAGTTGGAGTAGCATACAAAAGAGAGCCAGGCTTTGAAGCATTTACTTTTAGCCAAGCTAGTGTCCAATAGTTTACATTGAATATTTTAGGAAAAAGGTCTTTAAATACATTAATATTTATAAGATATGAACAGAAAGCTGGTGATTATTCAATCTTCTATGAATAAAAAAGTTGCCAAGTTGTAAAGAAAAATTGTTACCTTAGAATCTTCTCTCACTAAATCAGAATTGGCCACATAAGAGATTGTCGAGTCCTTGTGTTTGAAGCAACTGCGAATCATTGAATTGGAGGACTCAATGAGAAAATCAAATTCAAGTCAACATGAGACTTCCCAAGTTCATGCACTTGCCAAGTTCCTTCTCTTGCCGAATACAGAGACGAAGTGAGGAGCAAATTTCTAAGAGGCCATAACTTTCAATCTGAACATTTGGGCCAATGAGAACAAGATAAAAAAATGTGTGGTATAATATTAGCATGTTTTATGAAAATACTGACAGATTTTTGAGGGGCAAGAATGGTGCAACCTAAAAACAAACTTTGTTCTAGGAATGCAAAAATAAACACACTTCCTTTTTCATTCACTTAAACCTTGAATAACACAAACAAACACAACAATAAAACATTACTAACACCACTTACAACTTATAATAGAATAAGACATGACACAACTTAAAACTTATAATAGTTTTAGACAAGAAAGATTCAGGTGGAATGGGAACCGTGAAGAGAATAATAGATAGAAATCCGAGACGAAATATAAGAAGGAATGTAGAAAAGGATAACTTGCAAGCTATGACAAACACGCAGGTTTCACGTTCCAAATTTTCATCACATCTCTCTTTCACAAAAAGAATTCAGCCCCAATTTCTAGGAGAAAGAAGAGGGAATAGCATTTAATAGTTCACATAATTGTGCCACCAAAAACAGCCAATAGGAGTCTATCAAGATAGCCCATTGAATGTGAAGTTAAAACACGCTGCATAGAAAACAACAAGAGGAAAATTTGAACAGCCAGCAGCAGGGAAAACCGATCCAAACAGGCAACCAGCAGCAGGGAAACCAAGGGACAGCATGGAAACCGAACAGCCACCACGGGAAAACCTAACAGCCACATGGGAAGACCAAACAGCCACAAAAAACCCCTACAAATCAGCTCCTACCTTGACTGCATCAATTCTCCCCTAGTGGAAGAATCTCATCCCCTAATGAGAATGCCTCAAAACTTCCATGATGTTCCGAATGCGCTATTTCTGATGGGAGATCTTCCTCTTGAATTAAAACTTCAGATTGATTTGACTATCTTTTTTTTTTTTTTAAAGTAAAGAAAGACTCACATGACAACCTAATACTTTGATACCAAATTTATGCAACCAAAAACAACATTGGTTCTAGGAATGCAAATTACAAACTTCCTATCAAAATAACATAAACACACACTGATAGAATATAAAAACATACCACTTCAAACTCACATTAAACAGGACATAACTTCTTACAACTTATAATGAAACATGACACAACAACACTTCAACTTTCAATAAAACACGGCACAACAATAACTTACAATTAATTTAAGTTTTGAGAAGAAAGTTATAGGTGAAATGGAAATCGTGGAGAGAAGAATAGATAAATGTCTGAGACAAAATATAAGGAAGGTAAAAGAGGATAGCTTGCAAGCTATGGCAAACTCGCAGATTTCACATTTCAAATATTCATCCCATCTCTCTCTCTCCAAAACTCTCTTTCAAAAAGGAATGCGGCCCCAATTTATAGAGAAAGAAGGGAGAATAACATTCAATAGTTCACATAATTATGCCACCAAAAATAGTCAATAGGAACCTATCAAGACAACCCATTTAATGTGAAGTTAAAGCACACAACATAGGAAATAGCAAGAGGAAAATCTGAATGTCCAGCAGCAGGAAAAACTGATCCAAACAGGCAATCAGCAACGAGAAACCAAGGGACAACATGGAAATTGAACAACCACCATGGGAAGACAAAACAGCCACATTGGAAGATCAAACAGCCACCAAAAACCCCTCCAAATTAGCCCCTACCTTGATTCATCAGAGACCAAACAAAATAACGAAGAAACCAAGCTCATCTTCAGGATATGTGGATAATAGTCATTCATCAAGTTATGATACTTGAATTGTTTCTTATATTTATATTTGTCAAATATCATGTAATTGTAATTTATCTTTTTTTTTAAATGAAATTAAAAAACATCATTTTTAATGCATTTTTCATTTTATTTGACATTAAAATTTGATTTTAAATATAAGATGTGATTTGAATCAATCCACCTTATTACCTTTTGTCAAATGTTTTATGACTTGTATATGATGAATCTCAAAATGATTTAATCACATTATCGAGTGTAATGAATCTCCAAATGATCATTTCACGGAGGGAGAAAAAATCATAACAAATTATTTAACCGAATATAATGTTGGTATAGTTGGATTTTAATTGACACCTTAGATGGACCCCACCTTTCGCCAAATCTTGTCTTCCTGATGTTAACCATCTCAGAGTCTCGGATATAATAGTCAAATCTTGTCGCAAAAAGGGGAATCTAATTCTAGGGTTAAACCTTCATCCTAAAAATCTAATTTCAAAAGTTAATAAGAATTCTTTTAAATTAAATTTTTCAAAAAGATAGACTTTTGTTCCCCAAGTGTAATTGCATAGTAGTTAATTATTTTTCAAAAAATATATTGTCAAGTAAATAGGAAAATTTTCATATGCACCAAGTTATTGAAATCCATTTGGTGAATTCCAACATGTGCTAAATTAATGAACTCTAATAGGCAAATTGATGTTTGTGTCGAGTTATTGAACTCAACAGGTGAATTATCGTATTTGCCGAGTTATTGAACTTCAATGGGAAAATTGTGGTATGTGTTGAGTAATTGAGCTCTAATAGGTGAATTGCAATAGTGATTTTAATTTGGTTCTAGCAAGCTCATGGAAAATTTGATGATTTCCATGGATTGAATTTAATTTAATTTAAGAATTCAGTCTTAGGGGCCTTAGTTCCCTAGTTCTCCTATAAGGAGTAGTCTTGTAGCTTTTAGACAATCCTATGCTTAAATCATTCTGATCCAAAACATAAGTTAATCTTCATTTACTTAATCAGCTAATTGTTCAATTAGGAAATTAGTTCTCTAACATTGATTTAAATTACCAATGTGTCAACTGATTCGAAGTGTGTTGAAATCAACTAATTGAGTTTTCCAACTCTTGATAGTTTTCTTTTGCATATATATATATTGTGTGTGTAATTAAGTCTCATACTAGGAACAAATTCACCCGGTTCAGTGTTTGTTGATCAACTAGTTGAGATCTTTCTAGGACAATCTTGCCTTCTATGATTACAAATTCTCAACAATTTCCCATCTGATTTAATACATTGGATGAGTTCCCGGAGCCACAGCTTAGATCTGAGAACAAGTTCCCAAAGCTGCTATTAAGATCATAGAATGAGTTCTTTGAGTACTAGAATTGAGTGCGAACATTGGATCTTCTATTCACTGTGTTAGAGTTCTTCTTTTCGCAATGCCTAATTTCTACTCCTTGGCATCAATACACGTTCATTGCATCTTTCAATATGTTAGATCTAGAGTTGTTGCAAATGACACCTAAACCTTTTACTCACATGACCATGGGGTTCTTAGCAAAAACTCCGAAGTGAGAGAGTGATAGGGAGAGAGAGAAAAGAACTTAGAGAAATGAGTTTGAAGAACGAGAAACTATGGGGATTTTATTGCAATAAAAAAATGATTATAATGACATGATTTGTGTGTCCTCCCCTTGAAATGGCCCACTAACTCCATATTTATAGGATTTTGGACATCATAGGGAACGCTGTTGAACGAATAATTATAAAGCATATTTAATTACATGAGACATGTAGCCAAGAAATATATAAAAATACATGTCAAATATCCGAACCATCGGCATGTTGATCAAAGCTTCCATCTTGAATTTTGGAGTCCTTAATTGATGTAACCCATTAGGCTAACTTGCCAGAGAAGCCGTCAATTTATATGATAAAGTTTTCTACCAGCTAGATAAGGTTGCTGACGTACTTGATGAAGTTGTCGACCTACTAACTAAGGTCGATGACTTGTTAGATGAAGTCACTGACTTACAAGGGTGCTTGTCGAGTAGTCGTCCTGTTGTGTGACCAACTTATTGTATGGCCGACTTGCTAGGTAAAGTCACCACATTACAAATTTATGAGTTCTCATGAGCACGTTAAGTTCATTAGAGGCCTAAACCAAGTCAACTTTAATGAATCAAGCTCTTGAAATATTTAAGTGTGGGTGTACACATACTGGATAATAGTCCTAGTTATCATAGACTCATAGTAGAATAGAAAACATAAAAGCCTGGAAGGAATTGATTATGCTTCTACACACTTAAACTACCTATAAACCTGATTCACCAAATTATGTCCTCCATTCAATTACACGTTCTTAGGAAAAAGTGATGAGGACATCAGCAGGAGATTTTGGTGCGTTTATCAGAGGAGGCATCGGAGATCGACGGCTACGATCAGGAGCCTTTATTTTTTATGCATTTTATGTATCGTTTATATTATATTTTAGTTTTTCCTATTTTACCCTTATGGGTAGTTAACTTGATGTTGTATCCCTAAGGGCACTTTAGCCCTAAGCCCCCACTATTGTATTTGGAGGATGATTTGAATGAAAATTTCAGCTTTTGTCTTCTTCCTTGGTGTGAGCACTTGAGAGAAGAGAGAGAGACCCGTGGTGTGGGTGAAAGCAATACCCGCCAGCCTTGGAGGAATTCGGGCTCACGGTTTGTACCTGTTGTTATTTCCCTTTCCCTTCTCCACCCTACCATAGCCGTCGGCTCCCTCTCCATCTTCTTCACAAACCGCCGGTTTCATCACCCCCTCCACCCAAACCCGCCGGCCCCTTCCCACACCCCTTGCCCACAATTCCCTAGTCCCCACCGTCACCTCCACCTCTCCACCTCTTTTCCTAGACTGCCGGCAAGCCCAAACCCCCATGCCTAGCCGCCGGCCTACCTAGGGCTAAGTTGGAATTCAAATCCAATTTACCTCCTAAATACTTTCCTAAATCATCCCAATATTGATTTGGAAAGTTTCTAATTTGAATTCAAATTAATTTGAATTTCAAAATCCTTTCCTTATCAATAAATCTAATTTAGGAAACTTCCCCAATCTCAATAAATCTGAAATTAATTCAGATTTAGATAACTAATCACCAATTAAAGCCTGAGACCACATATATTGAATGTAGACAGATTTCCTCCCTCCTTTGGCCGGCCCCCTCCCCTTTCCTTTTCCTCTCCCCAATTAATTCCTCATCCCACCAATTAAGCCCCTTAATCCCTCTTAACCCGTCAGCCCCTCTCCCCAATTTCCCCTAATTAATTCCCCATTAAGGTATTATGGAATTTCAAATTATCCCTCCCTCTCCACTAACAAAAATCTGAAATAAATTTCAAATTTTAAATTATTTGCCCTCCATATCTCTTTATCTCCCCTTGCTCCATCAAAACCCCAAGGAAGGATCCACCACCAATTGGCCTATTCTTCCCATGCATGGCCAAACCATATCTCGACCATGGAATCGTGATTTGATTCTCAAGGTCAAATAGATGTGCTACAATCACCATTGTTCAACATTAATCGGGAGATCGACAACAACGTAGAGGAGTACGTTGACAAGATCTTATTCTCCTTGACCAACGCCATCGACGACCACTAACATCCAATCTCGTGACAACTTCAACATCGTCCACCCACTCCTTCAACTCCAGCTATCTTCTCCTTGGACGGTATTGTAAGCCCCTCTCTTTCTTTTGGTGACATCGTCAATAGTGCTAAATTTCTTCTTCCGCTAAGCCAAAAAGAGATTGAGTGAGGGAAACTCAAGGTGAATATTCTAAATATTAACCCGTGGATTCTTATTACGGCATAAATAGTTTTACTGTACTTTTCTGATATTATTTTAATTGTTTTCTTCTCCAAGATTGTAATCGCATGCCACATCAAACTTCAATTGAAAATTATTAAAGTTAATTCTTGTTATACATTAACCTTAAAGTGGCAAGTTTTACAATATTTTATTAATTCCTTGCAAATCCTGTATGTATCACATCAAAAAGTGCTCCATATGGATGCATCGAATTTCACATTCCATGGCCCCCCTTCTACGCCCATTTACATTGTGTTAAATTTGTATGCCAATTAGAATACCCAGCTTCAACAAGCCATGTTGACAAGCTCCCCACCTAAGATTTTAGCCGTAGTACAAACAAGAGGAGCATCTCCACCATACTCACATATCAATCCAAGTGAAATTCTCTTTCCACCATCATTGACTCAACCTGCAAAAGATGAAACCAACAGTTGCAACAACCTTACTTCTCGCTAAGATACACAGTTTCTTTCATGTACAAGATTTTCATAAAATTTAGCAGATTGAACATCTACAAACTAACAAAATTATTGCAGACTGTACACATAACTCTCAAAGGGCAGCACTAGACATTCCAAAATGGAAAAAAAATAGCAAAAATTGTTAACTCTTACTGTAACCTTCCAACTCCACTGTGAGCTCTAACCCGCTCGCCCTCTACTTGAGTAACAAAAGGTTCAACCATTTCCCCTGATCTCATGGAATCCAACTCCAGCTCTTTATGTCTAACTTGCAGTGTCATCCTCTCATTCTCTAGCCTTAGCCTTTCATTCTTCATCCTCAGACTCTCCAATTCCCTATCCTTCTTGCTACAAAACCTCTTCCACTTCATTCGCCGCTTTTGCAGCTCAAATGCTTCAGACTGTATGCCCACCCTCTCCTGCTGAAGCAGCAAAAGTCGTTTCCTGATCCAGACACTCCTTTCACACTGGGTTTTTGTTGAATCCTGAACAACCAAATCAATCTCAGCGCAAAGTTTATCATAGCCCACCTTGCCAAAATCATCGCTTCCACATCCGTCATCTTCATCCTCATCATCCTCTTCTTTTTCCTCCTCATTTTCCTCATCCTCATCCTCAACCTCATGAGCATCACCGCACTTCAAAAATCCAACCTTTGAGTCCAGTACCCTTTGCCCGTTATGGTAAGCGCACATCTCTCGATAGAACAGATGTTTAGAACTCAAAATCCTCCTCACATCATCCTTAGCCTTCTGAGAAACATGAGGAATAGAATCCAAAAGAGCGGGATTCTCCACGACCTGGCAGGTGGTTCCCCTGCCCAGAATCTCATTCAACCTCTTATACCTCTTGTTCAGATCATTGAACTTGTCCTCGCACTGCTGGGGTGAAACATAGCATCCCTTCTGCATCATCAACTTAGACACCATCTTCCACTTCCCCTTTTTCTGCATCGCAACGCTCTGCTTCCGCCCGGCGGTATCCATCGAACCAGCGTCGTCACCGATCGAGGCCACGAGAGAGATCAGAAGGCGGACCACGTCGACGGTCCACTTCATGCGTTGCCAAGGTGAGCCCTTTTTGCCTCGATGAAGGGAGTCATGGCTGGGACTGTCCTCGCCACCGCCTCCAGCGATAGCGGCGTCTTCGTCATCACTGAATAGAGACATCGACTGAGCAGCGGGAGGGGGAAGGCGATGACGAGTGGAGGGTTGGAGGTCGAGAATTCCGGCGGAGGAACCGGGGAAGAGGCCGCCTCCAATTGGATGGTCCATGAAAGCGTCGCTACCGGAGTCACCGCATTTCCCGGCGGGCGGAAGGCCCGGGAAGAAACCCTAGGACTGTCTATGAACAGGGATTCGGAATAATAAACGTGGAGATAGTGGAGAGGGTCGAGCTATGGGCGGAAATCGGAAAGAGCTGCCTTGCTCAGTGGAAAGCCGGTCCATCAAGAGAAGCTGCGGAAAATACCCTTTTTTTTAATCTCAGTAAATATTTTTCAGAAGCCAACATTAAAAAAAAAAAAGGGTCGGATGATTTACCTAATTTCTTGTAATTGAGAAAAATATTGATATATTATAGTAGAATGAACTATTGAAGGTGCTTTAAAGGATTAAAATTATTTTCAAAATATCATTTTTGGTTAGTAGGGTCATTTTTTCTAGTGAGAGACCAAAAAGCCGAGTAAAAATCTTAATGTTGATGTTGATGTTAGTGCATGAAGCTGGCGTTAATGCGGCGCATTAATCTTATCAGGTTTAGCATGTATTGACGTTATTGATGATGAGGGTTAACAAAATATGTAATCATCAATGTTGATGTCGACTATGTACATCAATATTGTAAACAATTTTGTGCATCCATATTATTGACAAAGCCAAGAAACAAAGTTGGCTAGCGTTAGCATTTTATGTCTACATTGTGCACTAATCTAATAAGCAGTTATGTGTGTTGATGTTGGTGATGACAGTGGACATTAATGTTTGTGTTGATGGCATGCAACGAGCTTAAAAGTGATAGTATATGTTAGCATTGGTGGCTATAGTGAGCGGTGATTCATTGGCCTTTGTATCAACGACGTAAATCGATATTATAGGTGATTACATGCATCATCATTATTTTCAATAACGTGTATCATCCTTTTAAGCTATAACATGCATCAATATTAATCACGATCATAGACAACAAATTTGGTAGGCATTGACATTTATGTTGACAGTGTGCATCAATAGTCAAGGTGGTCTACAAAAATGGACATTGTTGTTTGTTTTGATGATATATATATGTAATAGCCTTAAGTTTAATTTCACTATTTTTTTTTTTGAAAATTTATTAAGGGAGCGCTAAGGTTGTTGGGCGTTGCTGTGGCCCCATGGGCTCAAATTTTATGGAATTTGATTGAGCGTAGCAGCACTTGGGTCTTGAGCATCGTAGTATTGGGTAAAAAAAATTATTTTTAATAGAAATATAAAAATTCATTTTAATAAAGACTAAATTATAAAAAGGAGTTTGTTTAATACATAAATTAAAAAATGAATCGTGTTTAAAAATAAATTAAAAAGGAGCAAAACTGGATCTTAAAAGTCTGGTTTCTTAAGAAAACGGATAACAAAATTCCAGTTTCAAAAAAAAATCCAAAAAAAGTGGATATATATTAACCGGTTTCTTAATTAATAAATAAATATATAAAAATTTTAATAAATTTTTAATAAAAATATAATAAGAAACTGGAGTTTGTCTTAATGATATCATAATTCGGCGATCTTAGGCTCGTTAGATTTGTCTCATCGAGCTGCTTGATTCGACTATAAGCATGTCGTGTTTGGAAACCGTTTGTAATCCAAATTGTGGTTTGAACCCTCAAACAGTGCTTCAGACCTTTTTTATGTTTTATATTATTCACTCATTAGTATATAAAAAATTTATCATTTTATGTTTACGCAATCTTTTTATTTTGAGGCTTACGCCTCAAAACGCCTCGAGGCTTACGCCTCGCCTCACGAATGAAAAATGCCTCAATACCCGAATACGCAATTTTAAACATTGGTTTGAACCTTCCAAATGCGCTTTGGGTCTTTGATTCGGACTCATTTGGGCTCGGATTGAGTCAAATTGGGTGGTTTGTATTTTTGAGACGTTCATTTCGACTATAAATGTGTTGAAATCGTAATTCAGATGGTCTCTGATTTAATTTTTAAAGTTTCCAACTTAATTTTCCATCGAGATTCCTGCCCGATAAAATCAAGTTTCAAAAAGACCGTGTCCGACACTTTTGACGAGCTGTTTTAAATAAATAAATAAAAAACTCAAATGGAATTTACAAACATATCTTCATAGAATATATTACTTTTTCATAATACATATAAACAGTAAAGTGATTAATTGAATCTGAATATAAAAATCAGCTAGAGCAAGATTAAAGTTAGGCTCCCCTTTAAAAATTTCTGACTTCGCCACTGCTCCACATAATTGAAATAGGAAAGACTTAAAAAATTTCTGCAATCAGATTTAGGAGATTCTTCTCACCTTTCAAAATCCAAAGTCTTTTTCCTATATCAATAGCACTAAAGTGCCATTAACCTCCCATCCTTAGCTCTAGAGTCAATTTCCTCAGCAAAGAAAGGTACCGTTGGGAATTACATGGTAAATCAACAGAACTAAGCAGATAAGAGATAGCCATCTGATTAAACTCGATCGCTTCTTCAAATTTATTTAATATTTGAATATATGATTAAAGTACTTTACTGATTTCATTAATAAGGCGTGGTTCCATCATTTATCAGTATAAATGAACTGTCGGTTAATTAAAGAGCCTGTGGTGCATGATTTTTCATGTTCATCATTAATAAATGATTGATTACATAACAGTAGCATAAATTGACCCTCATTTTGTTCGGATTGAAGAAGAAGTTAAGATAAGACATGAAACTTTTATAATCTCTGAATTAATGATTAACTTAAGCTTCATTTGAGATGACTTTCTTACTGGTTTATGAAACTATTTTTTAGTACAAAAATATTTAATTTAATAAAATTTTTACTAAGAAGTTGTTTTATAAAGTAGTAAGAAAGTTGTCCCAAATGAGGTCTTAATTTCCTTACTTTAAGATTTTGTTTGGGATAATTTTCTTGCTGCTTTGTAAAGTAGCTTTTGAATTAAAAAATTATAATTAAAAAAAAAAATTGTATGAAAAAGTTGCTTCAAAAAGCAGCAAGAAAGTTGTCCCAAATGAAACCTAAGGCTTCATTTGAGATAGATTCGTTTCTAAAACGGAGTTTTAGTACAAATTTTTTTATTTTTGTACTAAAACTCCGTTTTAGAAAGCAATAAAAAAGCCGTCCCAAACGAAGTCTAAGACTTCATTTGAGATAGATTTTGAACATTTTTTTGCTATTTTCAATTATAAAAAATAAAAAATAAAAAGAGAGAGATGCCAAAGTTCTTTGGGAATATCATGATTTTTAAAAAAAAAATTGTATGAAAAAGTTGCTTCAGAAAGCAGCAAGAAAGTTGTCCCAAATGAAACCTAAGGCTTCGTTTTCTAAAACGTCGTTTCTAAAACGGAGTTTTAGTACAAATTTTTTTATTTTTGTACTAAAACTCCGTTTTAGAAAGCAATAAAAAAGCCGTCCCAAACGAAGTCTAAGACTTCATTTGAGATAGATTTTGAACATTTTTTTGCTATTTTCAATTATAAAAAATAAAAAATAAAAAGAGAGAGATGCCAAAGTTCTTTGGGAATATCATGATTTTTTTTTTTTGAATTTTACTAAATATTTCCCCAAAAAAATTTCACTAAATATTAAGTATGCTCTTTATAAGTTTAATGAATACAGTGGAGAGAGATTACGCTCTTGAATACTGTGCAGAGAGAGAGAGAGGATAATAATAATATATTACTGAGCTTGTAGCTATGATGCATCGGCACTTCTCCTCAAAGAGGCGTATAGTGTCTGACATCGTATCCGACACAACACTCGTCTGACACTCCTCCGACACTTGTCGGACACGTCGAAAATGTGTCAGATTAAAAAATATTAAATACAAATTGGACAAGCGTGTTCGACACGTTTATCTTAAATATTTTATGAATTTTTTTAAATATAATTTCTAGTAATTGGCAGGATTTAAACTAAATTTCTTATTTCCTATCCACACCAACAAATCAACGTCCGCTCATAATACACAATCATCGAATATTCTCTTTTTCATTTCTTTTTGGCAATGAAGGTATTTTCATCTCCTCTTTCGGCGACTGATAAACGGTATTGACGCCTGACTCTCGACATCCTAATATTAATCATTTTAAACACAAATTCTAGTTAAATGACATATTATTTTCAAATTATTTTTAAAATTATACTTATTTAATTTTATACACTATTTTTAAAATATAAAAACTATAACACCGTGTCTAACCCGTGTCTGTGTCCTATATTTTCAATAATTGACGTGTCCGTATCCGTGTCGCCGTGTTCGTGTTTGTGCATCATAGGCTTCTAGACTAAATTATAAATATGAGTAATGGAAAAAAAGAGAGAAAAAATTGAATAAATAGGGACAAATGAGCAAAGTGCAAGAGATAATTATCTATTCAATCTCTGGACAAGAGATCAAGCAAAGCTTTCATGGTTTGCTAAATGGATTTTGATTTTTGTGTCCTATATTTTCAATAATTGACGTGTCACGTGTTCATGTCGTGTCGTATCCGTATCGTTGTGTCTGTGTCTGTGTATCATAGGCTTCTAGACTAAATTATAAATATGAGTAATGGAAAAAAAGAGAGAAGATTGAATAAATAGGGACAAAAGAGCAAAGTCCAAGAGATAATTATCTATTGAATCTCTATACAAGAGATCAAGCAAAGCTTTCATGGTTTGCTAAATGGATTTTGATTTTTGGATTCTATCCCTTACTGAATAAGCGATGTGTTTACATGTACTCTAGTAACAAACTGCAAGGAACTCCTCGATGCTTGATTTGCCAGAATATAATAAAGATGAAGATAAAAGCAATTTCATATTGTTGATGTTTATAGAAAATGCAAGATTTAAAAGGGGGGAGAAGTGAATCAAAATTAAGTGAGATTTTTATTTTCTTGGTCAATTCCCACTATCAAAAAAGAGGGCTATTGCAGCATAATTTTTTACGTATCGCAGCAGTTATAACTGTCATAATTTTCTTTGCAGCAATTTTAAAACCGCTTCATCCCTCCTGTAATTGCAATGCACTGCAGTGGCATTTCACAGCGGTTTGACGACCGGCAGGTTAGATTTTGTGAAGTGCTTGATTTTGTAGCGGTTATAAATGATGCAAATCTTTAGAATTGTGTTGGTTATAACCGCCACAAATAATTCCCATAAGAACTTATTTCCAGTAAAACCGACACAATTATGGACATTAGTGGTGGTTATAATCGTCACAAAAGTCCATTTTTTTTTTAAT